CTCTCTTTTCGTTCCTCTGAACAATAGAAAGAACAAATGTAATTAAACGTTCAGCAATGAAATTCCATATCTGATACGTCGCGTTCGAAACAGCTTAGCGTGCAATTTCGACGTATAATATCTCGCTGTGTGATCTAACATGTTCAATATTCCGCGGTACAAACTTAATATCGACCGGTAGCCCGGTCTATCTACTGACCGGTTTAATAGAATTTCAGATGGCACCGTAATGACGGTTAACTGTACGAGAGATCAAGCATTCCAGTTTTACATTAGAGATCTCGATAGTTAACGTTCAAAGCATCGGCACGGTGCAATCGAAGTTAACGAAATTAGTAGGGAAGCTACACCCTACTGCAGCACAAAGGGGTTGCAAGGGAAACCGATCATTTTCCTGAGACACGCGCGTCAAAGTGCACTCACAATTACAGAGTAGGACGCACTTTCACGAGGAAAATCGGCGAGGGGAAGAAAGAGGTTCTTGCATTGATTAATTATAATGTTTGCGAACGTTGTTTAGGAAGAATAACGGAGAAAGCTAAATAATTTAAAGTTGAATAAGCTGATTGAAAAGCTTTTTGTCAAAAAGAATTTTAAGACGGAACGGATGGAATGAGTAAACTGGATGAGACTATACTTTAGTTTCTTTCGACATTGTCTCTTTGACAACTACAATTGATAAGAACTTTTGGGGGATATATTGCTATTGACTAAGTGTGAAACAAATGTAGACATAAGTATAGAAATTACAGAATATTTGATACAAGCACATATTTTGCAGAGATCGCAGAAGTCAATTATCCATTATATAAATATCCATTAACATTCATTATACATAAATATCCATTAATAAATTTTAATATTCAGTGGGGCTATATTTAGCATTTATCATTCGTGTTGTGGATTAATTCTTTATTATATATGTGTGTGTGTATTCTACCGTTTCACAGTATTATGTATAAAAGTCTTTAAAACTTGATAATTATCATTCGCTGAATAGAATTTACATATTTCTCCAAATTATCATTGATCGTGTCAATTGATAATATCATCTGTTTTGTCGTTTTTATAGAAATTCAACTGTTCGAGCAGAAGATAGCTGTATGCTTTACTATACTATAGACCTACTATAGATCCATTGTTCGAAAAGCTCGATAGTCGCTCTACCTCGAGATAAGTACTCTGGATTGTTCTCCGAGCGCGTAAACTTTCGTTTCGAGCAACGAACTCTAACGGCTTCCATGTGGCTCTAGTTTCATTCGAAAGCTTATCAACGGAATAAGTTTCACGGTACGGAATCTCATTGGCTATTCGAGTCAGAAAGCCGGGCAGAAAGAATTCGTGGCAATCTTTCTATCTGTGTGCAACAACAACTCCCTTTTCTACTGTATATAGAGAGCCGTTGTAACTGCGTGGCGCCGTTCCTAAATACTTTAAGCTCTCGTTTCGTCTGCGACTCGACCGGTGATTTTTCGAAATCGCGTCACGCGCCACGCGAGGAATTAAACGGACACGGTAAAAAGAGAAAGGAATGGCTACTGCGATGGTGTATGAAAGACTCGTAAAAAATGAAACGCATAGAATCTTATAAAATTAAAAAAAAAAAACAAAAACAAAAAAGAAAAAAAATGGAAGAGAAATGACAAACTTTTCTTGCATTAAACTACTTTATATGTATCTTTGTACATGCCTGACTAACATTTTTCGTGACTAAAAAAATTCGCAAAATAATTGTTATTCGCATAACACGCACAATGCATCGTACATCTACAAACGTTCGAATGCTTCGGTGAATACCTACCGTAATTCCAAGGACGTGAACTTGGTGAATCTCGAAACGAACGCGTATAGATTCAAGAGGAGGCCCGAGAGTAACGATCCTCGAGAGTAAATTGGCTTCAAGCCTGTTACGTATTACTCGACATATGTCACCGTTATCACCTTGTCGCAACCGGCGACGATTCCTCCCGTTCGTATCCCAGTCCAGGATCCGGAGTTGATCAGTTCAGCATGAGGGATTCACTGTGGCTGTGCGCTGTAGTTTTCCAAATGCTTACCGCGGGAAAAATCGTTTGCAGGACGAACAGGACGTGGAGTGGATATCTCGGCGACACAATGCGGCCACTTTATCAATACCTGAACGAAGAGCGCGCCAAGCCTGGCTTCTATCCGAAAGACGTTAGGAAGAAAGACCCCCTGGCGAGCTCGCACAATTTAGAGCTGCTCGATAGGTGAGCACTTCAATTTCATTTTTCCTTTTTTAATAAAAGGCCTTCACAAAGGATCGTCGCATTTCGATGTCAGGAACACCGTCGAAGTCTTCCGTAATTTTAAAAAAAACGTTCCGCCAACGTGTCTACGTTCAGTCTCCGTGTCGTTTGAAAGTAAATATCGACTCGTCTGGCAACGACGGGATAATACTACTTGCGTGAACTGTTCGCGACAGAGGATTATTTAACTTGAAATTTTAATTTCGGCGGCGAATAATTTTCTTCCGTGTAATTGTAAATGAGCAGTTATAGAGAAGAGAAGTTTAGTCAGATTAAAATTTCGTTCTAATAAATATAATTCTACTGTACATCTCTCTATATATATTCTATTATAATAGAATTTTTACTTGCTGATTCGCTAACTTTTTATTGATAGTCCTATTCCTGTTTTAAAATGGATTACATCATTTGTTTTGCACGTATAGAACTAAAAATCTTTTGATAGGTTGTTTCTTGCTAAAGAAAAAATTATATTAACTTAGCACATATTTATTTGCCTGGCCACACACCGATTCGTATCACTCGTGTCTACGTTGGAAGTAATACTCCTGTTTTTCGATACGTTAAAAAGAAAATTATATCATTGTCATCACCACAAATGATCACCACATCTAATTTAACAATTAGTTTATTATCATTAATCTCCAATTCCTTGATAAGAGAAAAGGCGACCTAATTAATAAATTCATTTCACCTGTCTGACCATGTAGCGTCTCGTTTCACTCACGTCTACGTGGGAAGTTGCATCGCAAAGAGGCCAAGTGTCTTCCGCGTAACTAATTGAAATCCCCCGTTTCCCCATTTACCGTAACGAAGTGGAAGTTGGAAAAAAATAGAAAGTTATACAGCCGTGTAAAAGTTTTACACGGTCGTTCGTTCTCGATCACCGGTCTCATCCCTCTCATTCCCCTTCCTCTTGCACTCTCGTTGCCTCGCCCACCCGTTCGAGTCTCTTTTCTTTCTTGCTCGGGTGACGTTCAACGATTTCTACTACGATTCCACTTAGCCAGTCTCGACGAACACGTGCCGATGAAATATTCTAGCAGCAGTGCTGCAAAAGCCAAAAGCTCAAAGGAAGGAAAGTTGCCGGTCGGCGAAGAAAAGCGCAACGATTACTTGTCGCCCCGGTCGGTTCTTCCCGCGGACTGTTTGCCGTGCAATGCTTGCGCTTCCATTTAAAGAGCCCGCACCTCCATTTTCCCGGGCGGAGAAAGAGCCAGAGCTATCCGGACAGCGAGCAGCGATGAAAACGTCAAAAATCGAGAGCAAACACCATTATCGACCGATCCAATTTAACGTTGCCCGCGACCGAGTTACCCTTATCGGGACGTTTCCTGCGATCGACTCTTCTTCTGGCGCGGGGGGCAAGTTTGATTTGTTGTTCGAGTGCGGATCACGTATCGGCCGAATCGACTACCGTGATGTCAAAAGTTCCGCTCTTTTTTTTCTTCTTTTCCTTTTTTTTTTTTTTTTTGCATGGTTCCGACGTAAAATCTCGAAAATTTCCCTTCTGCTTCCCTCGTTCTCCTTTGAAGTCGATAACTCGGTTATCTCGCCGTACGAGCTTTGGGCGAGCGGGGATTAGAAATTAAAAAATTTTATTTCCACGAACGTTTCGCGAAACGAACGGTGAAAGTCTGACGCTTGAAACGAAATGGAACGATAATTAAAAGCACACGGTGTATGTTAATTAATCCTCTGGTGACTAGAAGTTTGCCTACTCGCGAGAGAAAAAGATTATCGTGGCTATTAATTATTAACACTTTCGCGGGCAAGACTGTTGCTTTTCTTCTTGAATACACATCGAAATTAAAATTATTCCAAAAGTTATTCTACTTCAACTTAATTCTAGTCTTAATCATCTCACTCATTTCTGATCGTCGATTCAAACATTTCTAAATAAATCACTTGAAGTAAATGAAATTTTCAAGTTACGGAGGATTTAAATTTATTTGACGTATACGTGATTAAATTGAGAATGACAGCTCCTTTAAAGTGAATAAATGTAATTTCTTCGTAATCAGGTTGTACAGGGAACGATATTCTCGAGTGCTTCGTAAAAGGACGTCCGTAGATCCGAAGAAAACTACTTGTATGTTGTACCTGCAAGCCGATCACACGTTCTTCAATCACTACAAGTCCGAGGAGGCCAGCATTGAGGTGATGACTCGTCACGTGCAACGCGTCAACTCGATTTATAGATACACAGGTATGCGTAACGTTGTTAATAAATTTGTAGAAAATTCCAAATGTACAAACTGTTCGACAATATTTTACTTAGAAGTAATTCTCCCAACTCCTTCGAATTTACATATATAAAAAAAGAAATCGCATGAACGTCCAATGATTAATCATTAGTTGACACATCTTTTAGATTGCATTCGCCGAAATATGAGTCCGCATAAACATCCTGCGTCAACAATAATCCAGTATTATGTCTTCAACATAATAATGGAAAGGATGGAAAAGTCAGTGGAAAAGGAATAAATGTAAAAGTTAAGAAAATAACAAAAGGGGAACAGGAGAGTTCGGGAAATCGAGAATGATTTTATACCGATGTGTAATTCGCCGGGGATGTCTGTAAAATCGGCGGGAGAGGAGGGGAGGGGGGAGGGGAAGGAAGTATCGGGACAGCAATGAAAATTCTTTTCGTCTTTCCGGTCGTGGCAATCGGCAACCGGTTTCCCCACCCCGTACTAACAAGTGCGCGTCTTCTGTCTCATTCCGCTGTAATAACTTCGCAAACCAATTAAAACTTTCCCGGACCTTCCAGTTAAACTAACTTTCTGCCAGCGGCGATCGGGGGAAATGAATGTTCCTTAGCCTTACTGCGGTTCCTTTCTGCGCTGCGACCGATTAATGTCAGTTTCTGTGTCTGACGTTGACCGATTGATTCCCGTGGAACTTTATTGCGCCGCTACACACACCTAATGCGTAAACTTTAAACGATGGTTATCAAGGAACAGAGAACGAGAAAAGAATCTAGAAAAGAGAATCACCAACTGCCTTTCTGAAATTGCTTCCGTGCCACCCTTTCGAATAGAGATAAACTACCCTCTTTCTTTCTTTCTTTCTTTCTTCGGAAGGGGCGGAGGAGGGGGAAGAGGGGGGGGAGGAGGAGGAAACTTTATCCTGGAAGAAACAGAGTATTAGAGCGAGGTGGAGTACGGGTAATTTCTCATCCGGAGATGAAATAACCGTTTAATTTTTCACCAGCCGGTGTATCGCAAATTTTTGCACCTTCCCGAGAGTTTCCCTTAAACACGGAATGTAATTACGGCGAAGCTTGGACACAGAGCTAGCACAAAGAACTCGGAGATAACGGACGAGTGATTTTCCAACCGCGCACGGTGCCACTCGAGGCAATTCGATTTCAACGATTCCCCCATTATCATTTCCCTCGACCGTCCCTCATTCTAGAAATCCTCGTTCTTTGAAGCCGAAACTGTCCACGCGAATTATACCGCCCGCGCGCTTAATAGAATTACGTCATCAACTCGGAATCCAACTGAGAAACAATCAAACTCGTCGATAGCGGTGTGCGAACGCTGCGGCGGTACAAAGCTTCGTAAATCAGAGGAAAGCGTTCCTGAAAATCTCATTTGGCCGACGCAACTCGCGAATATTAAGTAACACACATACAGGATACACACACGTACACACAGAGAGGAAAGGCAGCGGCGAACTCTCTCGCACGGCCAGAAGGACTTTAAACGTTGCACCACCTGCCGTAACAACGAGCAAATATTTGTGTCTCGTGACTGAGCCGTGTTTAACGTAGCGTGACCGCGCCTACACGTCGGCCGGTCTAGTGCATTACTTAGAATTCCCTATCTCTTCCGTCGTGCGATTCGCGGATAAAGCTGGTTTTCCGCTAACGTTTCCTCGTCTTACTCTCTTCTTCCAACATTTCTCTCTCTCTCTCTCT